AGTGAAACTCTGCAGTTCCCTTGGTAAATTTTGCAATATATTATAATGGCAATTGGTACGTGAACGATACTTTTCCAAAACTATCAAATACCAACCATAAATGTGCAACGTTGCCTAAACCGGAAAGCTTATCTCCGCCACTTTCAAGAAGATACTGTTCCCTGCGCCACTCTCCGACACACATTTATACGCACGTGTGTGAACACTGCAGGCCAGGTGAGCTGCTGCGCGAAGAACTAAACTGAAACTGAGAACACCCGTTGGCAGTTCACTAACTAACGCCATTCGATCCTAACTGTGTACTTCCCATCATTCCCACAATAGTGAACGACCGCGCCGCCCGAGTTTCCACAAGGTTTTACCACGAATCTGTAAGAGCTTCAGCAGGAGCAAGAGAAAAACTACCGCCCAAGCACTCCGTACAAATGGTTACCCAGCGAAAGATGAAAAGTGGGTCCCGGTGTTCAGCAGTGGGTTGAACCTGACGCTCCACTGAAGTATTTCGCATTTCACATGTTCCACATGTTCATGCTTCTTATTCTGGTTAGACGCACGTTTCGCTTGGCATGCTGCAGTGTTTATTTCACATTATTCACAGTACAATAGGGTCATTGCATCTTTGCTTCAAACGTGTACTCCATTTCATGCAGAGCATCCATTGTTGTGGAAGCTAGCGCAATATCTTACACAGGTTGCATTCTTATCAGTAAATATTTCATTGATTTACGAGCAAATGTGTTACCCTCTACTTACTTTATGTGGTCCATTTTATGCAGAGCATGCAGTGTTGTGGAAGCTAGCGCGATTTTACACGGGTTGCGTTCTTACTAGTAAATTTTTTAATGTTTCTACGAGCAAATTCGTTACCATCTATTCTACGTGGACAAAGTAATAACTTCTGAGAGTTCGTCGTATGTCCCCGTTTACATGTCGTGTAAAAACTATGTGTGTATTGATGTTTCTTTCAGGTTTTAAATTCATGTAACGGGGCCTAGGCATTTTTTTGGGTGGAGGAGGGAGCACCTTTATTTGAAATGTGGGCTGGGCACGCCGATGTAGGGCACATTGTGCTCGTTTTTCGGTGGTTGGATGCATAACCCTTATTATTTTCCTTGGAACGCACTCTTGAACGTTGCGGACCACTTTTACGTGGGAGCAGAGCGAATACCCTCTGCTGCGTCGCAGACCCATTGAAATGGTAAAATATTTCCGGGGTAGGAGGGGTGGTACGTGCCCTCAGCGCCACTCCTTGGCTACCAGGGCCATATCTAGGGGGTGGCACACTGAACACGTACCCACCCCCCCCCCCCCAAAAAAAAAACTTTGTCCCCATGGCATAGAGCGCCGAAAATGGCCATTTTAAGGGGGTGACCTTCCCGAAATCGAGGTGGTGCCTCCCCTCTCCCCCATTCGAAAAAATTTCTGGCTACGCGTCTTCTGCCTACACCGCTGCCATGTAATCCTTTGACAGCTTTTATGCTACGCCGTTAAGAAGTAAGGTAGCTATGGCTTTGTTACACGTTTTCACCTAAACTAAGTGGTACTTTAAATGATATCAGTTCAGTCAACTCATCTGCCTTTCCCTTATGATCTCTCTGTATTGCTCACTATCTATCTATCTATCTATCTATCTATCTATCTATCTATCTATCTATCTATCTATCTATCTTTATGTCTGTCTATATCTAAACCATCTACTATCTGTCTATCTGTCTGTCTGTCTGTCTGTCGTCTGTCTGTCTGTCTGTCTGTCTGTCTGTCTGTGTCTGTCTGTCTGTTTTACATACAATAAGCATGCACCACCCAGCCTAGCAACAAACACTACAGGACACTGCGTTATTTTATCTAAATGATGAACATGTTCTTAGGTGACACTTCAGAATATTTTGTTCTCGAAATAACTTGCGGATGTTCACGGTGCAGCGGCTTCGCCAAACGTAATTGATAGTTGTGGCCAAACTCGGAGTGTATCAGTCGATAAATATTATGCCTCAGCTCATTTCTTAAAGCTCCATGAATATTGTTTCTACACCGATAGCTATTGCAACACAATTTTATTGCTTCATTCAGTGTTTCAGTAGAAACTGCTCACAAGAACTCTGCGCAAATTTCATGCATTATGTTTTTAGGAAGCTCTGTAAGAAAACTTGCCTAAATTGTATCGGACTTACTGAATTTCGTAATTTAACCCCGCACTTTGCTGCTGGAAGTTATCAACGCCACCGCGTGGAAAATGTTAGATATTATCATTTTCTGATCTACAGTGAAAAAATCACATAACTGGACTGATCCACATGTTTTCTTATTTATTTATGACAGCCATTCACTACAACCAAACAATGTATTGCGCCAAAACGTACAACTATAGCAGTCTCTCGCGTACTCTGACGACGCGAGTAATGCTATGGAAAAGAAACCTCCGATTAGCAATATATGTGAATTACATCGATTCTTCTATTGCGTAGGGTGGCCGCAAGATGTCCGGGCAAAGCACATGTCCTGTTAATATAACAATGGAAGAAGCTCTGGAGGTGAGATTTTACCACTTAAAAGAGCAATGCTCTTTCATTATAGTGATGAGTAATTGATTATAAATCACTATTCTGATTGTAACTCTTTGTTTCCAATATGTGATGTGATAGTCCCAAATTATTCGTAGTAAAAAAGAACCTGTGAATTTTTATGAAATATATGCTGTTTAAAACAGTAAAAAGTTAATACCACGTGTGAAAAAATATCAATGGTTGCTGTTACTAAAGTTCGCAATGATTTTTTAATTTTTTAACTATCTGCAAAGCGACGCTCAAGCGTAGAGGTACGCTGGTTTTGACTACTACCTTATTGGGCAAGCTGCCCGCTCAGCCCTTACAGAAGATCATAAACTCCGACTACCACTTTCTAGGACAGATGCTGCACGAAAGCTCCGCAGGCTTGCTCGCCAGCAAACCACATCACAATGGAATCAGCCACACTAAGCATGCCCGACTGTACTCGCTTGACCCTACGCTAAGTCTTCAAGTCCCGCCGAGGCTTTGCCTAGCAGACCAGGCCCGTTATGCAGGCTGTGTTGGGCGTTGCGTTTACCAACGCCTACGCTTTCCGCATTGGGAGGGCCGACACCGCAGCCTGTGGCCACTGTGGCAAAGAAGAAACGATCCAACATATTCTTTGTGACTGCCTAGCGTATAGTAAACAACGACTGTGCCTTCACAAGGAACTCGGCAAATTAGATAATCAACCTCTGTCGGAGCAAGGAATTTTACAATATCGACAAGATGCAACTTCACAGAAGAAGGCCCTGAAAGCGCTACTACACTTTTTGCGATCGACCGGCCTTACTGAACGGTCGTAGCTAGGACGCCTTCCTGTGTGTGTATTCGTTTTCACGTGAATGCGAGTGCGTTTTTTTTTTTTCTCTATCTACCCCTCTTTCTTGCCCCTACTTCCCCGCCCCCAGCGCTGGGTAGCAAACCAGATGCCAATATCTGGTTAACCTCCCGGCCTTTCCTTCTCCTTCTCTCTCTCTCTCCTCTCTCTTTCTTAATGTGATCTGTTTGTACCATACGTAAAATGCAGCTTCATCCGTGTTTATATATTATTCTGTGCCATTTCAGAAACTGGGCTGAACTCGGAGGCATCAGGATTGTATGGCAGAATTGTGTCGAGTGTGCTGCAGGGGTCACGACCATATAAAAAAAAAATGGAGAAAAGCCCGTTGTTGATTGAATCGCCGTATTGTAGGCATACGTCACGAAAGGAAGGACAACGTCCCAATTGGAGTGGTCCGAATCAATATACATAGCGAGCATGTCTCCGAGAGTTCTATTGAAACGTTCCGTTAGGCCGTTCGTCTGAGGGTGGTAGGCTGTTGATGTGCGGTGTACCGTGCGGCATGAATGTAAGAGCTGCTGCAGAACTTCGGACAAGAATACACGGCCCCTGTCACTCAGGAGCTCCCGTGGTGCACCATGACGAAGAACAAAGCGATGCAAGATGAAGGTTGCAACGTCACGAGCACCAGCCGAAGGTAGCGCTGCCGTTTCGGCGTACCTTGTCAGATGGTCGGCAGCCACAATCACCCATCGATTACCACCAACAGAGCACGGTAGCGGGCCGTATAGGTCAATCCCAACACGGTCAAATGGGCGTGCAGGACATGGTAAAGGCTGCAGTTGACCGGGTGAATGAGGGAATGTCTTGCGCTGCTGACACAGGAAATGAGCGAATGTGTTTGCGTACAAACGTGTACATACCCCCCAGTAGTAACGTTGGCGGATCCGTTCATACGTCTTTAGCGCCCGGCGTGTGCGTGTTGAGGCTCAGCATGAAAATATTCGCAGATATCAGAGCGCATATGGCTGGGTATGACTAGCAGCCATTTACGACCCACCACTTGATAGTTGCGACGGTATAACAGGCCATCTCGTATGGCGAAATGCGTTGCTTGGCGGCGAAGAGCACGAGGGTAACCGGAAGTTGATGTGTCAGAAAGCATATTCAAGAGCGAGACAATCCAAGGGTCTTTCCGCTGTTCGGATGGCATGTCTGTGACGCTGACGGAGCAGAGGGGGGTAAAGGGCTGATATTTCCGATTCATCAGATTTCACGGGGGATCGTGAAAGCGCCTCTGCGTCAGAGTGCTTTCGCCGATCGGTAGACGACGCGTAGTCGTTCCTGGAGGCGTAGTGCCAAACGTCCGAGGCGCCAGAAGGATCTTCGTGAAGCACCAAACAGAGTGCGTGATGGTCTGTTACCACTTCAAAAGTTTGGCCGTACAAATAGGGGCGAAACTTGTTTAACGCCACACAATCGCCAGGCACTCTTTTTCAGTAACGAATAGTTGGTTCTGCCTTAGTAGGGCGCGGTGGCATAGGCGACCACATACTCCGTAAACCTGGTTTGCGTGCGCGAGTACTGCACCAAGGCCGACGCCACTTGCATCAGGGTTTTCGGTCGGCGCAGTAGGGTCGTAATGACGCAGTACGGGTGGTGAGGTAAGAGTGGCGCAGTGTTGTGAAGGATTCGTCACAGGCTTCTGTCCAATTCGAAAGATCTGCAGGGCCAGCAAGGAGTTTGGTGAGTGGAGCGATGATGGAGGCAAGTTCCGGACCAAAACGACCGAAAATAGGAGCACAGGCCCACAAAGCTCCGTAGTTCTTTAACAGTAGTCGGCTTAGGAAACTCGGCAACAGCACGAAGCTTGTCAGGGTCGGGAAGAATGCCGGCTTTCGAGACGACATGACCAGTTGGGAGTTGTTTAGCCCCGAAGTGACACTTCTTCAGGTTAAGCTGAAGCCTGGCGTTTGTAAGGCACTGTAGAATCCTACGCAGACGAGTGAGATGGGAAGTGAAATTGGGTGAAAAGACCACAACGTCATCAAGATAGCACAAGAGATGTTCCATTTGAGACCGCGTAAAATGCTGTCCATCATTCGCTCGAATGTGGCGGGCGCATTGCAGAGTCCGAATGGCATTACGGTGAATTCATAGAGACCATCTGGTGTGACGAACGCCGTTTTTGGACGATCAGACTCAGCCATTGGGACCTGCCAATAGCCTGAGCGAAGGTCAAGCGAGGAAAAGAATTCTGCACCTTGGAGACAATCGAGAGCGTCGTCTATGCGGGGAAGAGGGTAAACATCTTTCCTCGTAATGTTGTTTAGGCGCCTGTAGTCTACGCAGAACCGTATCGAACCATCCTTTTTTTGACGAGTACAACTGGTGAAGACCAAGGACTACAAGAAGGCTTGATGACTCCACGCTGTAGCATGTCGTCTACTTGTTCTGCAATTACGCGACGCTCTGCCGGAGACACACGATAGGGGCGCTGGCGCAAAGGAGTACTCTTTCCTGTGTCAATTGTGTGCACAATTGCGTTCGTTCTTCCTAGAACCGCTTGGGGAAAGTCGAACGAATGCCTGAATTCGTGTAACAGGGTAAGAAGCTGCTCTCGTTGAGCCGGGGCTAGATGGCAGTCAATAGAACGATGAAATGCATCGGAGGACACACTGTTCGAGGCAAAGTGAGGAACCAACGCGTTCAGTTCCATATTCGGCTTGGTGTCGGAGAAATCGGCAGGCACGATAGTACCTTCATCGATAAGCTGAATGTGGCCGAGCGTCTCGTTGCGGCGCAAACTGAGGGGGCACGAGTTCGGATTGGAAATAAATATTCCGGTAGTGTCTTTACAAAGCGCAAGAACGGCGAATGGCAGCGATGTGTGATGGCGGCTACCAAAGATGTGAGATGGCGTGAATAGGACGGTAGCGTCAGAAAGTGAAGTGCAGCAGGCAGGGACAAACTGGGCGCTGAAAGGAGGAAGGTCTATGTCCGTCGCGACGACAAGGTTAGCCACACTAGATACGGCCGCATCAACAGAAGGCGCATCACGAAACGGTAACAGCTCCACTTCGGCCCGAGCGCAGTCCACGACGGCAAGATGACGTGATAGGAAATCCCATCCTAGGATGACATCGTGGGAACATGAAGCCAACACGTGAAAGTCAATGATGTACAACACGTCTCAATAACAACTTTTGCCGTACAAGCCGCGACGGTCAATTTGTTGGGCGCTCGCAGGGCTCAGAAGAAACTACGGGAGAAGCATCGTCACTTTACGAAGAGAGCGGCAGAGTCTTTGGCTAACACAGATATCGCGGCACCGGTATCGATGAGTGCAAGTGTTCGTACACCTTCGACGATTACCGATAAGAGTGGCGGGAGACAGGCGAGGACTTAAACAATTAGACGATGAGCAGCTCGTGCCTCCGGAGCTGCGGAGTTAGTTTTCCGTCTCAATGGAGGAGGTCGTCGACGCATAGGCGACACGGACGACGACTGGTGAAGGGAAGGTGAGCGGGAAGTAGAACGTCGAGAAGCGGAGGTTCGGGTACGGAAGCAGCTTGCGGCATCGCGTTCGTGAACTTCATGTGGCACGTAAGGCGCGCGGCTGAAGACCGAAACGAGTGTCAGGGGTATCTTGGTGTATTAGCTGCGAAGCGCCGACGACATAGACGCGCAACGTGACCTGGAATCTCGCAAAAAGTAGCATATCGGCCGGTTGTCAGCAGTGCGCAAGGATTTCCAGCATGCTGCTGTGTAGCTGGAAACGGCGCGGTAGAAGGTCGCACAGGTTGTGGCGTATACAATGGCAGACGAGGCGGAGGCATTGCCGCGACGGCCGCATAAGTCAGTGGCGCGGCAACAGGTGTTGATGGAGAGGCAGGCGTAGGTAATGGCAACGCCTCGGAGACCTGCTCCTGAATAGCTTGTCTGATTGTCGGCGTTAGACGGTTCGTTGGTGCTTCGGTGGTCGGCAGATACGAGACACACGAAAGCTGTCGTGCGACCTCTTCACGTACATATACTTTTATCTGCTCCAGCAGGGTGCTGTCACCACTGACGGCCAGGGAAGCGAGAGAGTCGTCTGCTGTCGTTGACCTCCGAACTAATGCACGTTGCTTGCGAATCTCTTCCAAGTTCTGGCACAAGGTTACAAGTTCGGATACGGTACTTGGGCCCTTTGCCAGCAACATTTGGAAGGCATCATCGTCTATTCCTTTCAAGATATGCCTGATCTTTTCTTGCTCGGTCATCTCAGAGTTAAAGCGCCGGCATAAATCGATAACATCTTCAATGTAGCTAGTGAAGTTTTCGCCCTGCCTTTGCGCTCGTCCGCGTAGGCGCTGTTCAGCACGCAGTTTGCGCACTGCGGGGCGATCGAACACAGCTGCAAGGGTGGTCTTGAACGCGGCCCAAGTGGTAAATTCCGTACGGTGGTTTGTGAACCACAGGCTGGCGACGTCTTTGAGATAAAATGGGACGTACTCCAATTTCGAGGGGTCGTCCCACTTGTTGGCGGCGCTCACCTTTTCAAACAGCTGCAACCAGTCTTCCACATCTTGGTCCTCGGCGCCGCTGAAGAAGGGGGGATCTCGTTGGCGCAGGGTGGTAGGTACGATGACCAGTTGAGATTGGGCCGTGCTCTGCAGGGGGGTGCCTTGCTCGGTCGTCTGATCAGGCATTGCTGATGCAGTGGGTAGCTTCCGGCTTCGAAGTTCCAGGTTTGCGTACCCAGCACACTTCCACCACTTTGCAAGGGAGTTTAATAGCGACGCCAGGTAGTAGGCAGGCAGCCGGTAGGAACAGAAATGCTCGAGCCGTCCAGCGTCTACAGCTCGTGCACACACTCGCGCTTCGCTCTCCGAGAGAGATGGTCCCACTAGTCAGTGCCTTGCGAATTCCCCACTACACAACTATTACTTTGCCTTACCGCACACCAGTGTTGATACCCCAGTTTGCATAATTTTAGAAATATTACAGTTCTTTCAGAATATGGCCTAAAACATGTCACCTGTGGACCTCGAAACATTTTCTGCATATAATATGAGCTGATGATATGCCGCGTAAGAGTTCTAAGCATAATTTTTAATCTGCATGTGATTGCAGTGTTGCAGCGACTTTTTTATTTTTTATTTTTCGTGGTTCTGATTGGGACCGTTGAGTTAGAGGAAAATTTTCAAGAGTGTTTGCATTGGAAATCTCAGTCTGTGTTGTCTCTGTGAGCATCCATTTTACAAGTAGTTATCATTCGTTTTAAAGAATAGCGATGAGTACGTATATATTGCGGCAATACATTACTAAACCTAAGCTGTATAACAGTTCACTGTTATGCAGCTTAGTCTGGGTATTGTATTGCCGCAGTCTGTTGTGGCTTGGAGAATGAATTTGGAAGGTTAGTTCAAGGGATTTTATTGTTTACTGTTCCTAAAATCACTTTTGTTTCTTTGTGCTATACCTTACCAATGTGTCATGTATGAAGTAGTGCAAGAATCAAATACATTGAATTACTTCTGCCCCTTTGTGCAGACATGGTACCTGGTCTGAATGTTATATACCATTTGAAAAGAATTTAGCTATATACTGCAGTAAAATATCTCTTCAGTTTGCACCCAGTCACTCAGCCTCTGAAACCATCTGAGATCATTATTCGCTCATTCGTATCTTGCCGAGACCAGAGCATTCTTTTTAGCAAACCGAAAATCGCTTAATATTTTTTGTGCTGGAACTACGGCACCTTCTGGGACGTCCTTCAGCACAATTTGAAACAGCACTTATTTCTGAAGAGACAAGATATTTCATTTCGTCTAGCATAAAACAAGGGCAGGGCGCCGTGGGATTAAGTGATACTGCTGCGTCTTCGCAGTATATCGAATCCTGGATTAAATGGCAGCTCGCGAGTGAGATTTATTGAATGTTCAATTCGATAGCACTTAAAATCAATAGAGTACATGTTCATTCGTAGAACAAAAAGGATCTACGAAATGGAAGAAATGCAATCCACAAGTACAAGGCCATTTGGAAATGAGGCAGCTTGACGATGTTTGTGATTGCTCTAATTTGCATAGCCATTCTTGCCTTTTTCTTTATTGCATATCCTGGCAGGCTTGCCAAGTTTGTGGTGGTAGAATGTGGGCCCAGGATCTGGAATAATTCAAATGGCAATCTGGTGACTCCGTACACGCAACGCGTACTTTGGTACACAACCGACTTTACTCTAACCGCGTCGCGTTCCAACTGCTCGAGCCGCGAGTGCCATTCATTCATCCTGTTTGTCGTCTTCTCATCCAATGCGTGCCGCCGAGCAGAACTGCCGTTCCCTCCTCGCCCCGTCAAAGGCCATGCGATCCACATCATCACAATATATTATGATAATAATGCACATGGGGCATAAGGAAGTAAGAAAGAAAAAAGCGTGAACGCAGCTTTCAGTTAAAGGCAGTGCTGCATAGACTTCTCAACTCTGCATAGCCAGTTACATTCCACTTGGCGCATCTGATATGTCTGATATATACCATTACTGCATTGATAGAATTAAACATCACTTCAGTGTGCTTTTTTTTTTTACTATGGCGTGCTTCTGAGCCCAGGTGGCTTGACTGCGTGATATACGCAGTAACTCCACTTTATGGTAGAAGACGATTGTTCAAGATAAGTGGAAGATCTTCGAGTTTGAAAATTTTAAGTTTAGTGTCAGTCGGCTTCCTTTGCGAATGCTTAGTTTTTGATGCTTTCGGCATGGTTTTTTGAAGCAGTGAAAAACTGAATTCACTGTGCACAAAAACATACGCACAGCGTGACCGGTCCTATGACAAGCACAAGGCGAAATGCATGGCCGCCGTGCTGCCCTCTGTGGAGGCATCGATGCGCGAGAAGGAGGCCTGCCGTATCGTCGTCGAAGCCACAAACATGAGCAGCGCCGCGTTCTGGACTGTTACACAGGTAACGAGCTGGCTCCGCTTCTTTCTGTTCGCGTATAGTATGCTCAGGCGACCATCATTCTGCATTGAACCATACATTAGCATATCACGCACTGCCATCACTTACTATCGCGCATTCAGTGTGGCAGTGACGTAAAACACGTTACACTGTTAAAAGAAACACACAATCTCTCATGCTGTTTGCATCATAACTACATTAGCATGTAGCTGTGATGTTTCCATTGCAACTACACGGTGTTTCCATCATAACTACAAAGTTCAGTCGCCTTAACTACATGTTTGCATCATAACTGCAGCAAAATAGAGAGTTGGGCTAGTTGTCTGGTATGCAATCTGCAGTGTTCGTGCATTCTGCAGCTCGATCTACACGACTGAGCATAACCTGATGCATGTTCCCTTCCTTAAATCCCGGTGCTCCTGCTCATGACAGCGAAATATACTTGTACACACCGCCATCGGAAAAGTTCTCCCATCCGCAGTATAATTTTCTATGCAAGTATAAGTCTAGCACACGTAAAGCAAATGGTGCTCGCCAAGGAAAAGCAGAACTTTGGCACTGAACGAAAGGAGCAATATTAGAAGTTGCGTTTTTATTTCAGGACATCTCTTTTAGCCTTTCTCGTTACGTAATTGAATATCTATAAATTATTTTCGAGCGAAGATTTGCCAGTTTAGCCCCTGCTTCTTTTTTTCTCCGTGAAAGAGGATGCTTACAAGGTGCGTTGAACTCTTTAAATGATTTGAAAATTTTAGTTGTGAATCCAGTCATATTAAACAGTTGAAACTACGCACACGCAAGGCACCTTGCGGACTCGATTTTTATAGTAATTCGGTGGGTCTATCCTTACTCTCATTGACACTTGTGACTATCACCGGCTGCACTACCAAATAAGTTGCAACCCCACTGGTCACCAATAGCCATTTCCGTCTCAAAGGCACTAATTCGGCTCAATCGCTCGCAAATCTATCTATAGGTCGCGCGACTGCTGTCGCAAACCTCCTTAGCAATCGCATGTGCTCGAAGAAAAGTACAGTTTAAGGTAAAATGACTATGCGAACAGACGTTCATTCTATGGTAACTTGTATAAGCAGGACACAAGTGCGAGCATCGGTCGCCTCGAATTGCCATTTGGTCCCCAGTGGCAAACAATCGTGCCACTGTTGATAGTCGCAGATGTGATTGATGCTTTACAGCGCTCTTTATATTACGTGAACACTATTCTTTTTTCTTTTACCCAAACGCCGTAGAAACGTAGTGACCAGAACGCTCCACGCCTTAAGCTAAGCGCCTCGTGGGGGCTCACGAAGCTTTGGGATGAGCCATGCGAAAAAAAGTCTCCGCATTCTCTCAACTCAAACAAGCGATCCAAAAGCAAAGTGAAGGGGGAACTCATGCACCTGTTGGTCACAAGGACTGTTTGTACCACACACCAGTTTTTCGCCGAAACAATCTCCGGCTCATGAAATTTTACGGGTTTCGGCTTATAAGCCCCAGATCAGGTATTTCAGAATAGAAAGTTCAAGAGTGGAGTCTAGAATTCGTAAGCTCCATAAAATTTAATGAATAGCGAAAAAAAAAATAGTCCCATTGAAATTTTTTCAGTGAGTGCTTTCTTACATAGGAAATGCAAACGAAAACAGTTTTAACTACCCTTTGCGTTTGGGGTATCATTTCTTTAGCGAAATCATGAGACTGCAGCCGTAAGCATATATTTATTCGCGGACCAGAAACGTTCAGTCCAAGAAACGTTGGAAAAAAATTTGATGAGTTGTGAAAAAAAAACATTATGCACAGTGATTTAAAAAGCGAGCTGACATAATCCTGCAGTTTTGAAAGTGAAGCAACCGTTTTGCTAAGCAGTGTAAACTGGGAGAGAAGATAACGAGGCGCATGTGCTCATTCTCTCTAACTACAAAATCACCAAAAGGGTCTGTCACAACTGATAGTGGTATCCTATGCGTCAGAGAGAATTCTTTACTGAAGTATAAGATTGTTTGTCTTGTAATTATTGCATTATGAAATGAACTACTTTAACAGAGGCTGCCAAAGCTCTTCAAGATTTTATAGTTTTGATGTTGCTATCCAAAATTATATAATGTGTCCGAAACAAAAGTGGTGGCAAAGCAGCGTGGAAAACACGTGACTTCGTCAGATTTTTGTTTCTTACGGTCGGCGTTCACACCCTGTGATGTCATCAATGTAAGAGGCAAATTGTTGATAACAGGCCTTATTTAAATACATTGTCTCTTGGCAATGTCCTGAGGGCTGTTCATGTTTATAAATAGCGCGTAGTGGCATGTATGAAACACGAATTGCGTTTTTACTACAAACGCGTGCTGTCTTTTGCATTAGGGCGGCCATGAGATGTCTGATAATGTAGGTTACGTAACTCTTTTTCAGGTTCGAAGGTGCATAGCAGACAGTGTCATGTTTCCGGATGCCGATGAGGTAAGACTATGGTTCAAATGATAATGTGTAAATATAGCTGCAGCTGCTTCGAAAAGTGCGCTTGTGGTACACAATTCCGATTACAAATACAGCGCAATGGTAAGTTAAACGATTCAGTGGGGTACTTTTTCAAACTAATATGTCAAAAATACTAACTAAGCTCATTCAAACTCTACTGCTAGACGCTCAAAATCATCCCACAAGACCATTTATTCATACAGGCGTCATCGCAAATTCATATAGTGCCCGTTTAAAACAACAGTTTGGAAAATCATGCGCCTAATGACGACCAGATCGAAACGTGCTGCTCATTTTTTACGCACGAATGACGCACGAAACGTACTCACAGGTACAGATGAACGCGAATAAGCGTCTCAGTTGTTACTTCGCTGTGTCTGAAAAGCGCACCCTTTTCGCAAACGGAGACTGTAATGGTTCCAGTGACCTTTGTGGGCCCGGTAACTACAACGAAATTGTTGCAATGATAGCTGAAGGCCAGCCAAGACTTGCGATCCTCCCCACCGCGGCATAAGGGCGCACGAGCGAGCGTCCACCTCTCTCCTCTTCGGGGGGCTAAGTAAGAGGGAGCGATAAGAGAACACGATGAAAATACGGTAGCCCCTCCGCCCCCCCCCCCCTCCGTCAAGGTGTCCGCCAACAACAGCAAGTGGTAGATATAAATAGCTTGCCGTTTGAACACTGCAGGAAGTTCACATTCTCGACGCTGAGGTCCCATGTTCGATTCCGCGTGCAGGAGTCTTCTTTCTGGATTTTTTTCTCGTGTTTTTTATTATAGATGCGTATACATACACGGTGCATGACATCGACGACCACGCCAAAGCCGGCGGCGAAATCCAGCCGAGAGTGTTCATATAATAGCCATCGCAATAGAAAGTCAATAGGACTACATCACAATTTTCGTATTGATGGCACATCTTCAAGTTACAGTACGTCTCGCGCTATTGGAATAATACACGCCAGGTGAGAGAGAGAGTGTGTGTGTGTGTGTGTGTGTGTGTTTGTGTGTATGTGTGTGTGTGTGTGTGTGTGCGTGCGTGTGTGTGTGTGTGTGTGTGTGTGCGTGCGTGCGTGCGTGCGCGTGTGTGTGTGTGTGTGTGTGTGTGTGTGTGTGTGTGTGTGTGTGTGTGTGTGTGTGGTGTGTGTGTGTGTGTGTGTGTGTGTGTGTGTGTGTGTGTGTGTGTGTGTGTGTGTGTGTGTGTGTGTGTGTGTGTGTGTGTGTGTGTGTGTGTGTGTTGTGTGTGTGTGTGTGTGTGAAACCGGGACGGCACAGAGGTAATTGCGCTCTTGCAGGAGCAGCTTGACCTGGAGTCGAAGCGGGCGGTTTGTCTTCGTGAGGCCCTACCGGATACGCCTGAAGCTGAACGGGCTGTCGCATTTCGCCGGGCTGCCCAGGAGGCCAATTCACTCACAAAACGGCACACTGATCTGAGGCAGAAAGTAAGTGTCCTTGAAGGACTGTCTTTCGAGAGGCTCATAACGAAACTTACGTTTTCAGAGAGGTCATACAAACAGTGCGACATTAGCCCCGACACTTAAGTGTCATGGAAAGCGGTGGTGTCGTTCCTTAGCAATTCTATTATAATGGCTAGTTACAAGCAAATGAATAGATGGATGGACTATGAACGTCTTCTTCATAACGGGGTGTTGAATTGTGTGCCACGCAGCTTGACAAAAAAACGTTTTTTTTTTTGTTTTTTCAAGTTGGTCTCATGGTTTTCAAGTTGGTCTACTTAAAATAAATCGATCTTGCTATAGTAGAAAAATCAGTTTATCGTCCAGTTTTTCTACAATTGCAACAGAATGACCTTCTTTTTCCAGCTATTTTTTTTCATTTCGCTCTTGTTCTCATCCGCCAATAGTATAACCATCTCTTAGATATTTGTATCGTGGACGTGTTTTCTCTTAAGCCCGAAACTTCATGTAGGCCTGTGCTCAAATGTATACCTGGATGGACATCTCCGCATTCACTCAGAATGTCGAGAATCAAAGCTAAATCTCCCTCTATCTAATAAACTTAATTCGGCCTCTATCTAAATGCCCCGTTGCAGTGGTAGCATTATCATGGTGTTGATATTTTTGTGTTCTTTAAAACTCCGTGCAGAGATTTTATGTTTGCACCACACCTCGTCAAAGCATTGTGGCATGAAGCATGTTGTGGTGCAGCAGAATCCCATCGCTGATTGGCTGAAGGCTGTTATTTTGAAGAATTCTGGACGGTGTTAACGAGTTTTTGCAGCTGGCACAACCAGCTCGAGAGGCAATTGGACCAACATATACGTTTTGTTCTCTCATGTTCGGTGAATCTGCTCAACTAGAAACATTCTTGAAGGACGTCAAATGCATCACCATCTTTTTTGCTTTATTCTTGCTGGTAAAATCATTATTTTCTACAATTTTCTACAATACAGATGGGCTGTGAGCTTCCCAACATCGTTTATTCCTAATAAAAATTGGCTTTTTCTCGGTCATCTTATTCTTCTTCTTTTCATTCTTAACCCCCATCTTCACTACTGTAAGGAATCGTGGCAGAGGTGATGAGTAACCTAATCTCTTGATATTTTTAACATCATAAAAAGAAGTCGACAGCCTCAACATCACTGCCTTTGATAATATTATAGGTACAATGCTTACTCGATGCTGTGCAATCACGTGAATGGAGACAGTTTCGTGCTCCGCATGAAAGCTTTAGAGAACGTTAACAGGGCCGACTTCCCACAAGGTGCAAAGCTTATGGTAGCAATGTTACCAGCGTGCACATCTGTAAGGTAGAATTGTGAATCTCTTAAACACACAGGCACAAAAAAACCTCCATGCAAAGGAATGCGCACTATGCATTCGAGGAACAATATAAATAGGTGGGCTTGTCGTATCTGTTTTACATGCCCAGTTTCTGTGCCAGAAAATTTGGGGAAAAAATTTTGATAGATGTCACACTACACTTTAGTTCAGCACGATTCTTCATCATGAATCTTGAATTATTTGTGTGTGTGGACTTTCATTGTTAGTCTATTACGATTCGCTGCTCTTTAGGCTGATTGTCAAATTTGCACGTACATTGCACTAAGTAATTATCGTCATGTTATATTTCAGCTGGAAACCTGCATGCACGAATACCTGCTGCATATTGAGGCAAGTGAACATGTTTATATTCTTCTGTGACAGAAAATCAATCGTTGTGTTGTTATCGTATAAAAACAAACGTTTTTACCGTGCGGATAGCCAGTTCAAACTTAACTAACGTATCTAAGAAGCTGCTATTTCCAGGGTTCCGTACGGTTTAGTCTTCATATGTATTGTTGAGATATAACATTACAAAACCACGATATGATTATGATAGGGCTCCGGAAATTTCGGCCACCCGGGGTTCTTTAACGTGCAGCTCAAACAAAGTACACAGGAATCGAAAATTTTCATCTTTATCGAAAATGTGACCGTCATGGCCGAGACTCGATCCCACAACTTGCGGGTCAGCAGCTGAAAACACTTTAGTCTCTAGACCTCCGTGGCGGCTAAGATTAGTCTTAAAAAACAGTGACACCTACGCGCCTCTTGCGTGACCACCAAGGTACCCAGTAAGCCTCGATTCACGATCTCAATCTAAAAGGCTCTTAGTCTCTTCGTATAAACGAGATTATCATTGGTGAGTAATGAACCATATCACATAATAGCTTGTGTGGTGAATTAGTGTAGTAGCGAGCAAATAGGGGCTTGGAAGCTCGATAGCTACAGTTACATTTAAATTGTCGTGATTACTTGCCATATATATTATTCGTGCTTCTTTTATGCAATCTGTGGACTCCTTTTTTGATCTAACCTAACACATCATGTCATATCATTGATGTTTTGTTTTCATGATTTTTATAATTAAACAGCATTTATTTCACAGTTCGCACACGTCTACATTTCTCATTTTCTGAGCCAAAAACACGTGATATAGTTGCCAAGCTGCATTCAGGAACGTCTACACTACTTACCTAATGGTCCAGCGAGGTTTCGTGAAATGATTTTTTTTAATTTTCGTAAGTATGACAAAATTTGGTGCACTTCAGAAAAAAATTTATTCTGTTGCTATCAGTACAGATCGTTATATTGAACCGACCTGAATGGCGAAACCTGTTAAGTCGGTTCTCAATGGCTTACTTTGGAAATAAGTATAAAAAGACACGCGAAAAGAAGAGCTTGCGCGTTCGGTAAGCTATGCGAGTCATTTCGCCTAATACTTTCATTCTCATATCGCACAGTTCGTACATTTACTGCTTCTGCTCATTTAACGAAACTTCACTAGCGCCGTGGACGAATTCATCGTATACGGAATGGTCACATTGATGGAAAGGCAGTGTAATTAGCTACATAGTTTGTTACAGTTTTTCACGCGATTTCTTTTTATTTTTTTTATTTTCAACACATTGTTAACGTATTGGAGGGTTCTTATAGCAATGGGAGTAAATCGAAAAGCACAAAGCACAAATAACAGCCACAACAAAAGTAACAATACAATTTGGGCGGAGCAGCGTTGCTGAACAAGTAAAAATTAAGAAGAAAGAAACTTCATGCATGAATAAAGTGATAGTGAATGCCCTATTAATTTTATACAATCGTGAAAAGGATAAAAAAGTTGATACATTAGCAACAATTGATGTAAATACAAATATTAGCAAGCAACCCAATACAAGGTGACAATCGTAGAATCAAAAATGAAAATACATTGCATACTATGTTGTCAGGCGTATTATTGAGTGCTATGCGCATTTTGCTATATTTCTATGAATCTATCAACTGTATGATGTTCGGCTATAAGTCGGCCAAGAGTCAATGATTGTTGAATGCATCTAGGAAAAAAAATATTATTAGAATGTAATGTTATACGAGTATACTTGCAGAGTGTGATCATGTGAGTCGAAGTGGAGATAACAAGCCCGTGCCAAGTATTACCTTGGATTAAAGGGAAACTGAAGACGTTATAAAACTCAACAGAACTTCGTGGTTAACCCACATTACTGTTGACGACGGCTTAAATTTTCCCGCTATTGTTGCAGCGAGTGCTTTAGAATATGCGAAATAAGATCTTGTTTTCGTCTGCCCATGTGAGCCCGCTGAAAGTCTGCGAAACTTACGTCATGTTCACTTCCTTTGGGAGAAGCCATGCTGTACACTGACGCCTGATTCTTCCCACTCACTGAATGGAAGTGCAAGAACATTAGTTATATGACAAAGGCTTAGGTTAGTATAATGAAGCTGGAATTCCGCATTCGGGTTTCGATATCTGGAATACAACAAACAGCAGAACGATCCGTAAACAAGTATCTTTCCAAGCATGGCCTTCGTGACATATTCGTGATAGGGCAACAGCAGAGCTAGTCGAGGAGACCACATTTGAGAAGCGCTGCTGTTGGAGATAACGTGGTTTACTGAGGATGACGTCTCCGCGTTCGCTCTGCATCTTGAGTGACCCTACGGCCAGAGCTTTTTTTGTTCTTTTTCGAAAGATGTTTTATGCATTCACTTTAGAAAAATCGCATCACTTTTTGAATTCATCAAGAATCAAACACGCTTTAGAGTGATTCTCAAAAGTGATTCAGCTTCCATCTAACCGTACATTATGAGTGTGTTTAAGTGGCCATGCGCATGTTCATTAAATCCGGTGTAATGGCACCCCACCTGTCGGCGAACGCAATTTACGTGCTTAGCTCTAACTGAATCACAGGCAGATAAAGCAACAATGCATAAAACCAGTGAAACTACCCAGTAAAATTTATCTAAGGCTACACGCACTACAGATGCCCTAGAACGTTCTGTTACTATTCTATAGTGTGTCATGAACGGCCTATGTTCGCAGCTTGTTTGAAAATTAGCAGCAACGTTAGTGGGCCAATAATTATTTCTGAGGTTTGAAGCACTAATATTGCAATAAGATTATGAGGCACGTAGCAATGGAGGGCTCCGCAAAGTTTGATCGTCTAGACTTCTTCAACATGCACTTAAATGAAAGTACATGGAACTCGAGCATCTCACCTCTATCGAAGAGTGACCCGCGGCAGCCGGGATCACTTTCATGGCATTCGGGTCAGCAGCCGAGCCAAGTTTTCAGACGTCTAGGAAACCAGTGTAATTCATGGAGAATTCTCCAGGTTCGTCAGACTATTTCAGTGATCCTCTAGTGTATATAGCAGCGAACTAACATTTATAAATTGTCTTGTTCGCCAGAGGTACTTTTGTTTTTTATTTGCCTGTTTCCCATTCACTTACGGTAATATACGGCCAAACGGAGGCATAAAGTCACGTTCACCTAGTTGAAAGCATTGAGTGCGATGCATCAAAGCAAGACATAAATGACAGCAATAAAAATTACAGCATACCCATAGAGTTAATGATGATGAGTGGGGCGAAGCAACCGGACGTACGGACATGCGAATGCAAGCACGGAAAACGGACGTAAGCACGGGCGAACTGATTGAAGAATGGTCGAACGCACGAACGGGCGGACGGACAAAAGCATGGACGGGTGGACAGGCGGACGGCCAGAAGCACGGACGCACAGATGGGTGGAAGCACGAAACGACAAAGAGATAGACAGACTCGTGATCTGACGGACAGAAGCATGGGTAGACCTACGGATGGATGTACGGTCGCACGGACGGACAGAAGCACGGACGCATAGATGGGCAGAAGCATGGATGAACAGACAGACAGACAGACAGACAGACAGACAGACAGACAGACAGACAGACAGACAGACAGACAGACAGACAGACAGACAGACAGGTGGACGGACAGAAGCACATTTGGACAGACGGGAGCACGAACGGATGGATGCACGGACAGATGAACGGAAGGAAGCACGGATGCACGAAGGGAAGCACGGATGCACGAGCAGAAGCAAGGATGTATAGATGGACGGTCCAGTGAATGGACACACGGACAGATGGATACACGGACGAACGGACGGATGCTTCACACAACTCATCATCATTCACTCTCTAGATATGCTGTGAAAACCACAAGCACCATCTAGTGTTCGTTAACATTTTTCCCCAGGACATACACACACAGCGCCGTCCATTGAGCAGCTCATAAACTAGAACTGGCTACATACTGCTACTACGGCTACAAAGGAGGGAACGACTAACGGCCTAAGGACCTTCGCCCTTGAAAAGTGACCATGGTGTACCAGGTGCCATGTACTGATCAAATTACCACTTACTTCAATTTCCCATTCTACATATTCAGTCATTTGTCATTGTAAAAGAGATTGTGCGCCCGCTGGCATGCACTGGAATTGATGCATTTAGCTCACCAAATAACAAGACCTGTAAAATGAAGAAGTATGTAGTGTTTAACGCAGGCACTCCTTTTTTTTTTCTTCAGAGAAGTTTCTTTCCCCATCTCTTTCGCCATCTTACCATCGTGACAAGTGAATTGTTTTAAATGCGAAACATTTCTCAGCCAACTTCAGCGACTTTTAGCGTCTCTATCTATCAATCTATCTATCTATCTATCTATCTATCTATCTATCTATCTATCTATCTATCTATCTATCTATCTATCTATCTAGCCGCCTAGGACCTTTAACTCTCCTGGCCATTTCGATAATGGTATCGATACCAGTCTTTATATGGTATAACATGACTGTATGAATAACATAACTGGCTAGTCATAACTTGAAAATCAGGACATGTATGTCATGAATGACATATTTTACATGTCATGGTCCTGCAGCTCTTGCGGTGGTTTTGTTCACACGGCATGTTGCCAAACTGGTATGGTATGACATGATTGCATAGCGAACACAAACGACAGACCCTAACATTAAAATCATGACATGCGTGTCATGTAACAACATGACTACATCTCACGCTCATGAAGCGCTCGCGGCCGTTTCGCTAGCGTCCCATATACCAAGTTTGGTATTACGGTACGTGAATGGACGACAAAGGTATGTCACTGGTGCAAACAAGATAATCTTGAGTTGCGTGTCATGTAATATTACCTGCTACGCTCATGATGTGCTGGCGGCCAGTTCGCTAGCTTCACTTATACCAAATTAGGCATTACGAGACGTGAATGGATGACGAAGGTATAATACTGGTGAAAACATGATAAACATAAGATACGTGTCATGTAACAACATG